ACCCCCCCCGCCCCCAATGTGAATGCCAATTCCTCCCGCCAAGTTTTACCATGTCAAGTGTTCCCACCCCCGGGCAGTATATAGCGCTGGTGGCCATTAACAGTTTGTAACCACGCACACGCACACACACACCATAGGATATGACTGCCCCCCTCCTCCCTTTCAGTGCCACATAAAATGCCCTCCAGAGCTCGCAGGAGCGCCTGGCAGTTCCCTTTGGCTGCCCCTTCCGGCCCCAGGCGCCCGGGCCCGGCAGAGGAGGGGGCGAAGGGGCGGGGACTGGCCACGTCAGAAGTTTGCCCTCGCCGGGCTGAGCCTCTTCGGGGACCCTGGCCCCGGGACAGCACCAGCGGCGGCGACTCCCGGAAACCGCCCCCTCCCCCGCGCCCCGCCCGCCGGCCGCCCGGCTGGCCGGCCCAGCCGGCTCTGTCAGCGCGGCTCACACGGGGAGCGCCCGGGAGCGGGAGCGGCGCCCGGCCCGACCCCTTCCCCCGCCAGGCGGCTGCGGCTAGGCCAGGGTGGGGCACGCGTTTCTAAGAATCTGTTGTACGGGGTGCGGGGGGGGGCGCACTGGGGTGCTACAGGAGTGGGGCGCCTATTGGAAGAATAAAGAACAGGAAGGGGTGCCAGAGTAGGCAGGGAAGACAGGGGAGGGGCCAGGGTTGGCTGCCAGGGCGGGGGGGGGGCACTAACCCGGGAAGGAGGGCCTGAATTACAGATGGGGGGCTGGGATGGCCAAGCTAAGGGGGAGGGGGGCTTGAAGCAAGGATGGAGAAGGAAGGCACGCTTCTTCCAACCCAATACAAGCTCCTGCCTCAAGCTTCAGCCCCAAATACTGCCCATCTCTGGATCCTGGTTCCTAAAAAAAACGGGGGAATAAAAAGTGGGGGATAGGTTTTTGATTGGAATCTGGCCAGGGGCAAAAAATTAAGTGTGAAATGGGAAGTACCCCTAAGACAAGGGGGGAGAGAACCCTGATTAGTCAACCTCAAGCTGACAGTGTATCCCCCCCTTCCCCCTCTGAAATCTGAAAGGTCCCAATTAAGCCAGGCCTGCCTGGTTGGTAATTAGAACCAGAAGTGGCCAGGCCACAGGGAGGGGGTTGGGAGGAGGGCACCGGAGGAATAGGGGGAGGGCTCCAGGAAGCCATGAGTCCTCAATAGCCCCCCTTTCTCTTCACCAGATGCACCCCACTCATCACCCCATCTGTATGTGCTTCCCGAGCTTTCAGGGAGAAGGGGGGCCTTAGGATCAGGCATTAGGGTATCAGGCCCACCTTTACAATCAACTCCAATCCCCTATTTTACCCAGACTTAGTATAGCCTTCAGCAGAAGTTAAGATGGGGATAATCTAGTGCCCCCTCTTTTCCCCAAAGTCCCCCCAGCCCTTATTGCAGCAATTAGACCCATTAGCCTTCTAGCATTTCATGGGAACCAGATGTTCCCCACCAGCCTGGTGGGAGTATGAGGGGGGGCCGCTGCCTGACTCACCCCCTTCCTTGTGATCCCCACCACCAGGGTACACACACATCCCCTCCCAGCTAGAGCCCCACAAAGGCATGCCTAGAAGCAAAAAGGGTTTTACCCTTCCCCCACTGATGAAGCCATTAGCACTCAGGCTCTAGCTAGATCACCCCTTAGAGCCCTACCACCCAGGCAAAGATGAGTCTGGCCAGGATTGGGGGGAGGGGGTGGACAGCTAACTGCTTATACATTTCTCCTTCCTCCTTTCCCCCTATTCCTGCCACCTTCTGGATAAGGCTAGAGGATAACTAGCTCTGAATTCCTCATGCTAAATTCTCCCTTTTCTTCCAAAACCTCCCTCAAAAAACTGAAGAATGGGCATTTCAAAGTGAAGCAGGCCCCGCCCAGGAGGGTAAGTTCTAACTGAGGCGTCCTACCTGAAGGGCAATGGGAGGGGTCTGGGGAGAAGGAAGGGGCAACAGCAAAGTGGGGGGGGGAGGAATAGGGAGGTGTGAATCAGGGACCAGGCACAACGCTAGGATGTAAAGAGCTTTGGGCAGGATGGGGGCTGGGACCCGGTAGGGGGCCAAGAGGGGGGGTGCAGCCTGGGCCCCAGCGGCGGCGGCTTGCCCAGCTCCCCCCGCCAGAGAGGTTTCCTGTTGCAATCAAAGCCCCGTTTGTGTCGGCCTGGAGCTGGAGCTGGAGCCGGAGCCGGAGGAGGAGAGACCAGGAGGGGAGGGGAAGGAGGCAGTTTACTAGGGTTTTTTCCTACTGGAGGCCTCACTGCCGCCTGCTCAGAGTCCAGTGACTGGGCTGGGCTGTGAGTCTGCAGCCTTCCACCTGTGGAGCTGCTTCTCTATGTGATTATGTCTGGGAATCTCTCTTCAGTTTCTTTTAAGTAGGACTCCTTTTCTACCTGTGCCAGCCTGTCCTCAATTTCCCCAAGAGATTTGGGGTGGGGAAGCCTGGCCTTTTTTATCCCAGAGACACTGGCTCTAAGGCCAAGACAGCTGTCACCAGATTTAAAGGACAAACAGAGCCAGGTTTCAGCACCTCAGCTTATCTTCTCAAGAGAGAAAGGTTTGCCTTCCCTCCCAGCACCCTTTATTCCCTGTAGTACATCAGTGTTCACAAAGAGAGATACTCAAAACACCAGGGTTTTCGTGCACATGCATGTATCTGCTCAAGCCGGTGCGCATGTGCGCACACACCCCTCTGTTTTCCATGCACACAGGCCTGTGCTTGCCTGGCTCAGCAGTACCTGTTCCTCTCACCTCTCCCCTCCTCCACCACCAGGTTCTGAGATGACTGCCTCACCAACTGAGGTCCCGGGAGAGCCCCAAGAGGTGGAGCAATCCTTCTCTTCTCAACAAGGATGTCCCCAAGGTGCCAGAGACTCTTCAATAAAATCCAAGAGAAAGCCCTAGGGACAAGTTCTAGGCTCCTTCCTGGACCACTCCCTTTTATCCTAGAGATCCTAGGATCTTACCCTAGGATTTTATCCTAACAAGATTGTGCTAGCTGTAGAATGAGAAAGAAGGTAATGAGCGAGGCACAGATTCAAGGTAAGCAATGGCGATGCATTTTAATCTCTTGCTATTAGATGGCCGCTGCCAAAAAGGGTTAGCAAGTCAGAGATGGCACCATGACCCTGGCTGGCTACCAGTCTCCCCATCAACTTTTCCACACATAGGATCCTACCTATCTTCTCTACCACTAGGAGCTGCATGCCCCACCCCCATGCAAGCTGTCAGAACCCAAGCCTTCCCCTTATCCCCACCCCACTTGCCACCTCCCTGCCCAGACCTGTCCCTCCATGCTAGCCGCACCCTCTCCTGCTAGCAGCCCTAGTTCTGGCTCCTCCCTAGGATTTCTTCGTTCAGCTCCCTTCCTTCAGGACTGCCTTGGGGGTAAGGGGGGGGGGGGGGGGGGGACGGAGCTCAGCAAGGTGCCTTCCCCTACCTTGACCTCACTTTGAACTCTGACCTTGATCTCCTCCTTATGTCCAAGACACAAGGGCACAAAGAGAACTTCATCGGAGCTAGGCCAGGCCCCTCAGCGTTTACTCCATTACCATTCGTTTTCTCCCAGAATTTAGGAAAATCAAATCCCAAGAGGTTAAGTTGTATGGTTCCCTGCAAGAAATATGGGAACAGGGGGCCTTATTCCCACTGTTTTGGCCCCCAGGACAGATTCATGGTGAAAATGAGGTAGGGGGAAGCCCAGCTTTAAGTTTCTAAAAAGGGGGCTTTGTGTGCTTTCATTCACCTGCATGCCACTCAATAACCCTTGTTGGACCTCAGACATGCCTTTGGCGGCCTTGCCAAACACCAGACTCACCATCAGAGGCCCTATTAAATACCTTTTCACTCTTCACACTGACTCTTTGTTGCATACACTAAGATTCTGTATATGAGCATTTTCAGGAAGAAACTGTTCACACATAATTACATATGGATTGGGACACACACACACACATATGCACACACCTTTTCCGCATGAGCACACTCTTTCCAGTGGAGCTGCCAGCCCAATTTAGTCACCAGTTACATACACAACCCTTCTGAGTGCCCCTCCTGAAGGCAGGGACCCTTCTCTTCTACCCCTGCCTCGGAGTTTGTGTGGAGCTATAAGGGATGTGTTTTATATCTGTTTGACTTTTCCTCTGAGTCTCTGTCTCTTTCTCCCCTCCAGTTACTTCCTCTCTGTAGCTGAGATTTCTTCAGTAGCTTACATGCTAATGCCCCCATTCCCCAGCCTCCAGGTCTGGCCAGGACTGGAGAGACAACAACCAAGCAGGTAGAGAAAGGTCCCACACAGAGAAGGGGAGGCCCAAGACTTGGCTCCTGTCAGCACTCAAAGGCTTAACCCAAAGAGGGCAAGCCTAAGAGACAAGTAGAGATCTGCACAGCATGTGGGCACTATGCCAGACCTGGAGGCAGGGAGGAGTCTAGAAGCATGTGGCTAGAGGAGAGGATGCTTATGGAACACATTTGTACTTCTCAGGATTACTTTAGGTACAAGAGTCACCTTTGCAGCTATTCCTATCCTCCCCCAGAACCAAAAAAGGCAGTCTCCTAACCCCACACATCTTTGAGTACCTGACATTAGGTTTTCTTCCTTTTTGCAGCCTTACAACCATCTGGACTCTAGATCACAGAACCAGATGACTGGCCTCTACTACTCATCTCCTTCGCAGTCTGGCTCCCTCCACCTCCAAGGTAGTAGCCTTGGATGGCACCAGACCCACCTTTGGCTGCCCACACAAAGGTACAAGTTGGCTGCTTCCAGAGGTACTTTTTTATCTCCCAATTTTAGGCTATCATTTTCCCATCCTATTGAAGCAGGTCCACACCCAGCCCCTCCTCCTCCCACCATGACCACTCTCCACAACTCTTCACAGCTTCCTTAGACCAAACTCCCATCCCTTGTTCATCTTCTTAACTTGGGTACCAATTTCCTATATCATTCACCTTCCAAATACCCTCCTAATTCCATTTGCCCTCATCCCCCCCTCCCAAATCCCTGAGACTCACACAGAGAGGCCATCTCCTTGGGGAGGTCAGGCTGGCCCAGGCCCCGGAAGCTAGGGCTCAGCATCTCGAATGGTGGAGACCCCCTGAGTGTTCCTGGGAAGGCAAATGGGAAGCCTGCCCCTGGGTAACCAGATCCAGGACCCAGGGCACCAGCTGCAAAGAGTCGCTCCTTATTGGTGGCCATGGCAGCTGCAGTGTAGGAGTCCCCTGGAGTCTGCAGTGGGCGGGGGTGATCTTCAACCACAGCCCCCGCCCATGCCCACTGTCCTGGCCTGGGAGGCTCCGTGCCCACCCTGCCTGGCCTGCCCACTGGGTCTCCGATGGTCCTAGAGTAAAAGAAAGGAAAAAGACATTTAAGAATGATTACACTAGCCGGGCTTCAGTGGCTCATGCCTATAATCCTAGCTACTCAGGAGGCTGAGATCTGAGGATCACAGTTCAAAGCCAGCTGGGGCAAGAAAATCTGTGAGACTCTTGCCTCCAGTAAACCACCAGAAAACAGGAAGTGGTGCTGTGGCTCAAGTGGTAGAGAGCTCGCTTTAAGATGAAGAGCTGAGGGACAGCTTTCAGGCCCAGAGTTCAAGCCCCACAACTGACCCCCCACTCCAAAAAAAAGATATACACTAAAATCAGGCACTGGTAGCTCATGCCTATAATCCTAGTATTCAGGAGGCTGAGATCTGAGAATCACAGTTCAAAGCCAGTGAGGGCAGGAAAGTGCATGAGACTCTTATTTCCAATTAACCACCAGAAAACAGGAAGTAAGGCTGTGGCACAAAGTGTAGAGCACTAGCCTTGAGTGAAAAAGTTAAAGGATAGCACCTAGGCCCAAGGTCAAGCCCCATGACCAACAATAATAAAAAAGAATGATCAAACTGGGCACCAGTGGCTCACGCCTGTAATCCTGGCTACTCAGGAGGCTGAAATCTGAGGATCATGGTTCAAAGCCAGCCTGAGCAGGAAAGTCCCTGAAACACTTATCTCCAATTAACCATCAGAAAACTGGAAGTGGCGCTGTAGCTCAAGTGGTAGAGTGCACACCTTGAGCTGAAGAGCTCAGGGGCAGCACCCAAGCCCAGCATTGAAGCCCCAGAACCGACCAAAAAAAAAGTCCTATGCCCCCTCCCTGGTCCTCCTTCAGGTAAGTCTATGATGCCCTGGCTCTGGCCTCTGCCATGTGGTAGAGCAGAATCTGAAAAAGTTTCCAGGTGAGGTTTCCAGGTGAATTATGGTCTGAGAGCTTCTGAAAGTCCAAAGGACTCCCAGAATTTGTAAAGTGTCCAACTGACCTAGACATTTGCTTGCGCTCCCCCGCTATCTCCCTCTCTCTTTCATAAGCTGAGAGCCTTCTTGCTAAACAGGCACTACCACTCATACCATACACTTACACCATACACTCCAGCCCCAACTGAGCTAGAGATTTAACACTCACATCAATCTTGTGATGTACAAATTATGATTCCCATTTTGCCAACGAAGAAACAAATTTAGTGACTAGCTTTAGGTCACAAGGTAATTAAATGGTTGAGCCCAAGTATCTATTACATTTTCACATAGGAGTTGTAGCTCAATGATAGAGCCATCGCCTAGCATGTGCAAGGCCCTAGGTTCAATTCCAGCACCAGACTGAAATAAAATAAAGTTCTCTACTACTTTGGAGATAGCAAACATATGTGTTATAACTTTGAGGGGCTACACCTCTCTGGAGGGGAATATGCTGCTCTGGTAAAGAACATTTTGGGGGCTGGGAAGGTGGCTCAGTGGTGGAGCGCTTGCCTTGCATGCCTGAGGCCCTGGGTTCAATTCCTCAGCACCACATAAGCAAAAAGAAAAAAGCCGGAAGTGGCGCTGTGGCTCAAGTGGTAGAGTGCTAGCCTTGGACTGAAGAGCTGAGGGACAAAGCCCAAGCCTAGAGTTCAGGCCCCACGACCGGACCCCCCCAAAAAAAAAGAACATTTTGGAAATGGACTGCCTGAATTGACATTCCTACCACTTCCTAGCCATGGGATTTTTGGGGGAATTACTTCATCTCTCTGTATCTCCATTTCCTCATTTACCACCTGAAGAGAATAGGAGCCACTTCCTAAGGCTGTTGTAAGGATTCAGTTATTTAACATGTATAGAACGATTAGGGTCAAGTAGGACACATGTTAAATACTATGCAAATGTCTCGTTTTATTTCTCTTTGTATGTTATCTTCCATATGTCTCTTTTCATTACATTTCTTCTGTTTCTTCCTCTTGACTTCCTCTTCATTTCCCCTCCTAATTGGGTCTCCTACCATCTCTCACTTCCTAACCTCTCTGACATACTTTTCTTCAAATTAGGGATGCTGATCACTCAAACACATACATACACACACACACACACACACACACACACAATATGACAACTATAATGCCAGAAAACTTTTCTCCTTGTCCTTTTTGCTTTACTATCTTTTGTTCTTTCTTATCTCTGGGCTCTATCTGATTTTAGAAAACACTCCCTCCAGCTTCTCCAATTGTAGCTTTCCCCCACCATGTGTGTGTGTGTGGGGGGTGATGGATGTGGGTGTGTAGGTGTGAAGTTGGGCATGCCACATGTGCATACACTATTCTGAGATAGTACTGGGACTTGAACTCAGCCTGAGCACTGTCCCTTAGGTTTTTTTTGTTGTTGTTGTTTAAAGCTGGTACTCTACCACTTGAGCCACAGCTCCACTTGTGACATTTTTTGTTTTGATGGCTAATTGGAGATAAAAGTCTTGTGGAGTATTCCTGCTTAGTCTGGCTTCTAACTGTCATCCTTAGATCTCAGCCTCCTTAATAGCTAGAATTACTAGTACCAGGCTCCCCCTGGGAATTTTTCACTTGAAATCCAGGGAAGCGGGGAGAAAGCAGGGAGACAGAAGAAATGGGAATCCCAGGGCTGACAGTGGTTGCTCTTCTAATGCTATGATTGTCCAAGTTACTGCAGAACCACCTACCTCTTAGAGAATAATAGGCTCAAGAGAAGACCAGCCCAGTACTTCTATGAGCCAGAACTATAACAGAGCAGAGAGGGATCATGAAAGAGTAAAATGCATAGAGTTCATAGGGTGGATAGGCGCTGGCAGTGGACATTTCCATTCCTAGGCCCAGTATCTCTTCAATCTTTCCTCTCCCTCTCCCTCTTCCTCTCCCTTCTCCCCTCCCACCTTCTCCCTCCCCCC